ATGCACAAAGACAACAAGTATTAGCACTATTAGGAATAACTTTGATGATAAAATATTGAATTGTAGAAATACTTGCTTTAATGTTTAGTTAAAGAGAGACTGAATGCATAATATTAATCTTTCTGAACAGTCTCTGCCAGAAAGCATCCTCTAGTAAATATTTCTACACATCCAGAAATAGAGAGGGCAATATAAAGAAACAAAGCAGACACAGAAGAAAACTATACCCATTCCACAGAAGTCAGTCAGCCTCTTTTCTTAAAATCATTTGGATGCCCCTCAGGCCCCAACCTACAAATTATTTAATTTTCAGAAATGATACACTCAGCAGTTCGACAGTGTAAATAATTATAGTTCAATTTATGTAGCTATGCTTTCATAGTTATTTAGATTTATGCTATTTTATGCTAACTGTATTATATCTTTCTCATAACACTTCATATACAATAGTGACTATCAGCAGATAATGGATCAAGTTCTTCAAAGGCCTAACCAAATCCCAAATTCTAATAGTTACAGAATATAGCAAATGCAATGAGACAAGTTTGTTTGTATTTGAACAAGTTGTAAGAATATGCATAGCCAAAGTACAGTTTTTAAGTTCGCTGTTTTACAAATTAAGTATATTGGCATATACAGAGCTAGCGTAGGAGCAGATGAGGATCAGCACTTGCAATTACCTGGGGAAATAATGTACAGACATTCTGTGATGCAAGGCATGTAGAATGTTAGCAGCTTCACAAAGTGTTTGGGATACGAAGCATCTGTTTTGCTAAAATCGCTAAACAAATTTTCTCTGAATACATGTGTTTGGGGCAGGGTCATGGATAACACAAGGCAGATGTAAAGGAGGAGTGGTTAAGGTGATACTGGTACAGAAGCAGGAGGAGGAAACCAAATCTGGTATTAAAAAATGCTAGTCATGAAAGCTGTATTTGTATTTGATAGGAAGCAGATTTAGATATAAGACATGGGTTACTACAATTGATTCCATGATAGAGAGGATTGCTTTATAAAACATAAGGTTTTTTTCAGATCTGGTACAGACAGAAAGGACAGAATATAGAGACTTTGAAGGCATCACCTCAGGAGCAGTGGGCTGCAGAAGGTTGGCTCACCAGACTCCAAAACATGACTTTCTATTCAGAACTTCTGAACAGTGTCACAATATATCCTGAACCACCACTCTAACAGGTGGGATACATTAGTTCCAGCAAAGAAATACCCATTTGTTAATGGACTAAGATTATGCTTTGTATTTGTTTATTTGCTACTCGTTATTTCAAATTATCTTGACTTTAAATCTCTTTGGATAAATCTCTTCAGAGTTTTATCATTCAGCTTCTCTCTAGTGTTAGCAAAGCATATCCGTGTGGAACTGATGAACTTAAGGCGCAATCCTACTTCTATGGCCTAGGCAAAGACCTGTTTGGGGGCTCAGAGAACGGAGAGCATGTCCTTCAACTGTGCAATAATCCATCTGAGTCAGAAGAAATGCAACAATTCTGGATGTATCTGTTCTAGTCATATACAGCTCAATGTCAAAACTCAGAGAGAAACCAGCCTGTTAACCACAAGTTTATCTTATTAAAACCAACACAATTTGGGTTCAAGCCAGGACACAAAACTGAAAACTCCTTGGTAGGGAGAAATACTCTCTTCTTTTCAATAGGTCAGAAATAGACTTCTGCTCTGGTCCTGGACTACTTTGCTGTAATCAAGATGGGTAAATCTAAAATACTGCTGATACATTCAAGAAAAGTAGCAAGAAGCCAAGGATACGGGTTAAAATGGCTCTACAAGTGGATCCTCCATCACCAGTTTCCTTACTTACAGTCCCAAAGAACTCTATTTTTTTCCAGTAGCTGTATGCAGTTGCTATCTGGTCAAATGACATCAACATAGGCGTCAACAACATGCATAGGATACATAGCTCGCTTATCTTTCACCACATACTGTCAAACCTCTACCAAAATAGTATAATTTTTTGACAACATCAGACTGATGAAACCGACCAACTCTGAACCAAGTAAGGCAGAGGTGACACTACTGAGCAGACAAATATTTTCAAGATGTTACCAGAAAATTAGTATTTACTTTAATAAAAGATCAATACCTAAAATTAGTCAGTTCCTTCTGTAGATTATGAATATTCTCAAGTCCCCCAGGAGCAGCAGCACAATCAATGCTTTATTTCCCCTTGGGTAGGAGACTATTATTCTGCTTACCTCATTCACTATTAAAGATGAACCCCAACAAGACAGTATCTGTCAACACAAAGCCTGCAACTTTTAGGGACCTTCATCTAGTGCAGAAGGCTTCAGTTTGCCTTCTCGAACAGATACTCTGTTCTCTACAATTGTTTATCTTAAATTTTCAAATTAAATTCAAGGTCCAATCCATACCTTGGGTACAGAATCCAAGAAACTTCCTTAAGCCCTATAACAAAACCTATTCTTAACAAGTAAATTCTTTGGGCACACAGGGAACTGCTTGTGATGGGGACAGAACATATCTAAAACAGTGACAGAATTTTCTTGAGCCAAACCTTTGAACCACTAGGATCTAAACCAGGAACTGTCACATGAAACCTCACTACCATCTGCTCTGAATTCACCAAACAAATCTACAGAAACATGGTATACTGAATAAAAAGTCCTACCAAGACAAGATGCTCTCTTACACATATAATAACAGGGAAAACCACACACACATTTTAAGAGTTATCAGTTCTGACACTGGTCTTATGTGACCTACTACAGAATTATTATTTACTTCAGTTTCTCTTTGTATCTGCCAATAGCACACTTGCAAGTCACAGCTTCTTCACTTGCATTCCCCTTCTTGGAGTGCTGTTAAGATTGCCAGCATATATCAGATCTCATGCTTTTTTTTCTGGGGACTTCCAATTCATCTTCTTTTTAAAGCTTCAACTACCAACTTCCCTCACGGGCAGAGGAATTTTCCCTTTCTACTTCACACACATTTGTAGATCACAGAATTTGCTCGTATACAGTAACTCCTAGTTGCTAATAAGCATAATAATAGACTGACTTTTAGAGTGACTTAGCTAGTGCAGCTTGTGGTGTCGAACATATGCTCAGTGGCCCTGAAAACTACAACTAATAACAGAGGGATTTATTAAAACTGCAGATTTACATCTTTTACCAGGAATCTAGCTAGCTCAATTATTTTAGTGAGTAAAATCACAGACTAATTCAAATATCATTATGTATACATTTAATCCAGTCCTATGAAAATCAAATATGAAGAAAATGGATCTGGTCCTGAAATTTTTAATCATTAGTTTTACTAAAACAGCTTCTATAAGATTTAGAGTCAGATATGTTTTTAACATTAAAATAAATTCAATTGCAGTTAACTTGATTTGGATTTCTATCAGGATTTTTACTTTAGTGAAAAATAATTTGTGATACAGATCTCCAAATATTTTTAATTCAAGTGACTAAAAATTTATAAACGTTTCACATCCATTTTGCTTAGTCCATCATCTGCTGCTACAGTTTTGAAAATAAAAACATGACATTGAAAAGAAGAAGAAATAAGCAGACTTACCTATTACTGTGATGTTTAGAATATTGCTAGCTTTCATACCACTGGAGTGATTATTTCTAGCATCACATTTATATCCTCTTTTGTCATTTTGTCTAATATTTTCATCCAAGAATGTAGCATATGTGTCATTAATTACTATTTTCTTAACTTCATTTCCTTTGTAGAATGTGAATGTTATTGGTGGCGTTCCCATCACTGAACGACAGATTAACTGTAGAGGTTTCCCTAACACCACTTCCGGTAAACCACCAACAATGGAAAGAGTTGGCTTGGAGACTGGAGCTAAAACAGGAATAAAAGAAAAAAATGTTGCAAATTACACTGCATAAGGCCAAAAGATACAATATTATTTTATAGAAAACATATAAATATACAATATTTAGCTAATTTGCACACACAGTCTATATTGGGAAGCTCTTCCTCATTGATAGAACGGAAGCAGGAGGTGACTTGAACAAAGCAAAAACATAGATAAAAAAGTTACATGAGTTAGAATAAAATAGCATACCAGGAGAATGTAAAGGAAAACAAAAAAGGGATCGGTGACCCAGCTGTGGATCATCCAAATTCCAGAACTAGCTCTGACCCAGGAAGTAAGTCTGTAGAGCAAAAATACATGCAAGTAATACATTGCATGTATTACCTGCAGCACGTAATCAGGGACCTCTGTTTCTGCAGCACAGTGAGCCACAACCCAGTTAATCCCCCTTCGTAGACTTGAAAAGCAAATGTGCTTGTTCCATGAGAGGGAAGGAAACTAGGGTGTTTATAATTAGTGTGCTGGTGAGGGGGTTGAATTGATAGCAAAAAAAAAAAAAAAGGCTTTTCTGGAGTAGAGCTATCCAGATGCCCTCTGGCTCTCATGGCTTTCTGCCTGGAGCGTCAGGGGGAGGGATTCAGTGCAGACACTGACAAAGTTTCAGATCAAACTGCTGAGTGAAAGGTTTGCAGAACATTCCCAGCTCCTGTAAATAGTAATGAATGAGAGTTTATTTGGCACCTAGCAGAATCAAGGGAACAGAAGGAAGACATGCTAACTTCCTTCTCCTAGGGCCAGCCCTGGAAAAGTCTGACTTGATTAGATCATGATAGGCCAAATCCTCTACAGCTAAAGATTATAAGCACATCTCACAGAAGTTAATACTGCAAGAACTAATAGACACTTTGCTAGTTCACAGACTAGAGACTGATTCTGTAAACAGATGTGCTTATTTATAAGCTTACAGTTTTAATTTTTTCCCCCCACTATTGGGTTCTAAGCCTCTGTATCAACTCACCATAAACATTTATCCTTACAGGTTTGCTCGTCTTGACTATTCCTTTTACTTCAGCTTTACAGATATAGGATCCAGTATCATTCACATTAACTTTCATTGTTAAGTTCCTAGAATTTTTCAACCAGATGTCTCCATTTGAACTTCTCCGTAATATAGAGAAGTTAGCTTTCCGAAAACCACTAATGCTGCAACTCAAAGTTAGTTCTTTATTTTCATCCAGCTTACTTGCAGAAGTAGCCAATATTGGTGCGGGGAATAACTCTGCAAGATAGAAAGAGAATTAATTTGTTCAAATCAAGTCTAAAAGAATATGACTACCTATCTCAAAGTATACAGAATGAAGGACATACTGAAAGTTTACAATCAGTCAGGGAAAAAAACCCAATAATGTTATTTTAACATAATAATAATTTCAGGGAAAACAGAAACTTAGTAATCACTTGAAACCACTTCTCACATGTGTTATTTGAAAGTATTATTTTAGTTGGAAAGTATTAGTGGCAGGCAAAATTCAGAAACCAAAATCTAAATCTAAATAGCCTTTAACTTTGGGAAAATTTACTACACTTGGGTCTGGAGGTTACACTTGGATCTTGAGTTCTACCAAATTTAAATTTTAATCTGTTGAGTAAAATCTAACATGAATAGAGGTGTTACCTGCCACAACAACATTCAGTTTGGTGGTTTTAGATGCTCTCCCTTGCTCCACCTTACATAGGTATTCACCACTGTCCTCTAGAGTAGCTACTGCAGAGTATCTCAAAAGTTTCTCATCTCGTACACTGTTCAGTATTGTTTTGTTTTTCTGGAGTATGATTTCAATGTCACGCATTCGGGCTACCACAGTTGAGCATTCAAGCTGTATTCTGTCTCCTTCTGTAATATTACTTGAGGGCTTGACATTCAGAGTAGGCTTTATAAATGGTTCTGCAAGAGAATACATATAAACTCATGACCCAACTTTTTAATTATAGCCAACAAAAAAAATATAAAAAGAAAAGCTAAGCAACTTACCCCTGACTGTAACAAGTGTTTTATTGCTGTGTTCTGAGGTTTCATATTCAAGTTTTACAATTCTCTTACCATAGCAATCAAATTGTAAAATATTATCTCCCTCTTCAACAGAAAATTCCACTACAGAAAAATTTCTATATAGTTCATATACATATTTTTCTTTAGGTGTTGAATTCATCTTTATCTTCCGGAAAAAGAAATATAAAGGAGGTACTTCTTCTGGCAGCTCACAACGTAATTTCACAACTTCACCCTCTAAAACTTCTTTTTTCTCAGCAGTCAGGATTGGCTTGGTCATACCTTAGAACAGAAAACAAGAAAAGAAATAGTGTTTATTTAGGATTATGCAATGTTCTATCTCTGTTGACTATGGTAGTGATTTATGCTAATGAACAGAAGCAAATACTTTGCAGGAACTAAGCTTTTAAAGACAGTTCCTTGGATGTGTGGGTGCATGCCAAGGCACCTTCAGAAGAATGAAACAGCCATTGAGAGGGTAATACAATCTTGATGCAATGTGTGAAGTATGAAACTTGCTGTTTTGAAGGCAAGTCCACTTCCACCTCAGTGTTTGCTAGTGCCTCTCAGAAATGAGCAAGGGAAGAAACTAAATGCCATCCCAACTCCTGTACCTAGAGCTGCAGGCCTCTGAAGAAAAATTACAGGCCCTGCACAACCCTTTAACTATTTAATGCTGAATGAATTCTTTTCAAGTAGCTTTTCCAAGGGAAAAAATGTCACTTGCAGTCAAGAACACATGACTAGAAAGAGTATAGATAGAGGTGGCCTCTGTTCTCATAAGAAATGAAAGAACAAGACTGATATAACGTTGTCTACAAAAGTAGTCCACAGATGATACTAGCTATGGCAATGGGCATCACAAGGTGAGAATCTCTATACTCTATTTCCAGCTTTTCCAGTAATCTAGCCTCCCCCCTCAATCATGTTTATGATCTATAGGAACAAGCTTTCACAAATAATACTCTCTCTAGTCTAGGGAACAGAGGCTCAGAACAGAGGGAATGGTGACTCAGGAAGCATAGATTACATTCCTGGCTATCGCTGATCTGCCATGTAGCCTTGAGATCGTGATTTCATTTTTGTGCCTTAACATGAGGATTTAGTATTAAACTTTTGTAAAGCACCGACATGTTCATGAATAAAAAACACTTTGCAAGATATCCTATTTAGCACTAACTATTAATACTGCCCCCTGAAAGGTTGTTTTCTTTTGTATCTTAGAAAACCGCCCCATTTGAAGGATTACTCACCTGTTACCCAAACATGTAAGGAGTTACTAGATTTTGTCTTTCTGCCTGCTTCCACAGTACATTCATAGTCTCCTGTATCTGAAGATCTAGCCGTAGATATTTCATATTGTGCATCTCCTTTGTCTGATACAGTCATGAACACAAGCTTGCCATCCTTAAAAATTGTAAAATTATGCTTCAGCTGGAAATCCGCACTTTTGCTAATATCAGCATGGCAGACAATTGACATAGGATCTCCATTCTTTACTTTGACAGATGGCTGAACCTTGATTTCAACTGTGTTGAAAGTAAAAACTTGATGGGGAAAAAAGTAAAAAAGGAGTTATATTTATTTTCAATTAGTTTAACATAACACTGTTATCTCAAGCTGCTACATGTTAATCACAAAAATTAATTCATTGTACCCTAGCAGCAGGTGTTATAATTTCTGTGGTCAGATCTCAAAGATGTTGACAGTGGTTGCAGCTTTACCTTCCACTGCACAGACATACTAGAGGCAACTACTGATTGTCACAGCAAGCACTGTCCATCTGCTCAGCCTCTGCCTTGGAGGACTGACAGAATCATTGATTTGCTCATGGCCAAATTTACTCAATTCCCTAGAAGACACAAAGGACACTGGAACAGGTTTGCAGCTACTTCTTGGTTTTCCTTATTTCTTATGGTTTGTTGTCTTCAACTCTAACTGGCAGGAGATCTGAGAGGTGAACAAAATTTTGTATTTATACTTGTCTGAATAAACTGAAAACTGACAGTAAAACCCTGCTTAGAGTTGTATTAAACCCCAAGCCAATCCATCCCCAATTAGCAGAAATCCCTGGAGTTATCCCGGTATTTTTTATCTGAAAGTAAGTTTAGAGTTATGTCTTTCAGCACATTCCACTTTAAATACGTAACTCACAAGCTTGGGGTAATCTTAAATCTCTAGTTTAGGATAACTAGAGCATAACAGAAGATATTTGGGTTCAAGTTCTGCAAGCAAACACGTACATGACTAACTTTACATTGCTGGCAGGCCAGCAATCATACTCTCAGGAGTCCTTAGCAATCATAGTCTGATTAATTCAAATACAGAATCATGTGCAGAAGCAATGTTTTCAATTAATTTAGAATTAGATATTTTAGCCCCTGAAAAAATATACTGAATAAAATATTCCTCTTGAAAAAAAATAATTAACAATTAATAAGCACTTTAAGAAATAAATTTTATAATAGCATTAAAAAATATATAGTGCTTCTGTGTTTATAACCACAGCAATGATAAATAATTTTTAGCTTAAAATTTTATAATTATTAGAATCCTGTTATAATTAATATTTTTATTCACACAGCTAGATGAACAAGTATAGAGAAAGATTTATGAGTTTATTCCCTTTCCTTTAGAACTTACAGCTTTTGGGAATGCCCATTTTGCCCAGAATTTGTTTAGAAAATTGCTACAACAGGAAAACTTTCCTGCATCTAACGAAGTCCCTTGCCATGTACACTTACCAGCTATTTATAAATTGTCCTTGTTAGAATGAGTTTTGGGTGTAAAATCAATGCAAAATTGTAAAATTTTTTGTATGTGAATAGACTACATGACAACAAGAAGCTAACATTTCTCCCTAGTGATGGAAAAAAGGAAGTATGCAGAGTGTACGTGCTGGAAGTCAGCAAGATGATAACATAAAAAGTAAATGCATTTCTTTCAGAATGAAGTTCTGTACTCTGCTCAGACATGATATTTTCTTTTGCAACAAATAGACAAAAGAGAGTGCTTTTAACTTATATTCTATGATTTTATCCTCCCTCCTTGCTTATGGGCATGAGAGGGTTTTTTAAAGACCAAAATAAAAAGCTAGTAATTAAATTTCCTCTCCTGTCTCTTCTCTTGTATGCCTCAGTAAAACAAATTACTCTAGGAAAGATTTCACCATAACATTTATTAAAGTATGAGCAGCACATCTCTCATTTAAACATTATACCAAGAAACTCCACCAAGTAATTTTTTTTATTTTTTTTTTTTAACATGACCAAATTTTGTACTGAGCTATAGTACAGCAAATCCAGATAACCTCTGTTATGGATGCACATTAACAACTGAGAAATTAGTTAAATTACTTATTTTAAATTTGTATGCAAAAACCCCCTACCATCACCTACCTCTCTCCTCAGTGTAAAGTTCTGAACCTGGAAAAAATAGAAAAGAAATGTTATTTTCAAAGCTTACGGATTGAGAGACAGTAATAGGAAACAGTAAAAAGTGCAACGAACCCCAAACTAGAAACACATGTACCCACCCAGATATTGTTACCAAACTTACACTGCAAGAAAATCACCAGAAGAGCAAGATACATCTCGTTGCTGAAGAACAGACTCTTAATTCCAAAATAAAACAATATTCATCATCAGAGGTGATGCCTCCAGGTACCAAAAACAAGTTACTTTTTTTTTCTGTTTTTTTTTATGGAAGCAGAAAAAATTTTGCCGTTAAAATTTGTAAGTTTTCCCAGATCTTCAACAGAAACTGGCTAGATCAAGTAATCGTTCCCATTACTGGAAACTGGAAATGGCAAACAATGAGAATCTATCTGCTGCTCACAGGCAGATTACTGTTCAGGAAGTGACTGGACTTTTCCTGAGGGCGCCACCAAATGCATTTGCTTTGTTTAATTTCTTAAGGTGTATTAAAAAAACAAGAAGTTCCAATGACATTTATCCTGCAATTCCTGTCAATACTTTTTTTTTTTTTAAGTCACAATTAACCATTTATGAACACAAATTACCTTCACTATTTGACCTCAGTGGATCCTTGAGCAAATATTTCCCTTTATCCATGGAGAACTCTTTCAGAGAATACTTATATATAATTATTCCATTTTCCCCTTCACCTCCATTTCTAGGTCTCTCATCTTTGCTGTGGCAAAGAACAGCTTTACTGTAGGGTGCACAATAAATTCAAATTATCTCAGAAACCATAGCTACTGTTGTGCTAGACTAGAAGATTGATAGGCAGATCTCTCATACTACCATCATATATCAAAAACATGGAACTGCACAAGATTTTAATGTAGTTAGTACAGCACAAAACATACACAGTCATAAAACGTAAACCCCACCAAAAAAAAGAACTAGTTGGAGTTTCATTTCTCAGCAGAAATCTGAAGCAACACTGGTACAATCTGAAATAGAGTATACACTGGAGCAAGAGTTAAATCTGACACTGTTTGAATTCAGGCACCCCCAAGAGATCTGCTGACCTTTTCTGCATTGCTGAATTTTTTGCAGTGGTATACGTAGCCTGACATTATGAGAGCTAACTTGAAATCAGGGGTGATGAATTCTGCATCCAAAACACTAAAAGCAGAAATTGAACAAATGTGATCAGAGGAAGAAGAAAAGTTGCAAAATATTCTACTTCAGCATTTTGCCCTCAATTTCCACTGGTGTAAACGTCTGCCTGAGATACAGTAAGGAACTGATGTAAAGTTCAGAACACTTGAATTATTCAACTATATTTAACAAAATGGAAGGCTTTTTTCTGATTATGGACAAGAGCCTAAAGAAAGAAGAAAGCCTAAACACAAGTAAATCAGTAGCCATCAGCTTTGATTTAGGTGGAATTGTTCTGAAGAAAAGTAGTTGCGAAGAAAAGTAAAATGTAATCATTATCCAAAATCTCATTGCCATGACCAGTGTCTTGATATTCAAATGGAGAGGGGATGGGAGAGATAGGCAGAACAAGGAAAGCAAAAGGATTACAGAGATACTGTCCTGTCCCTATCTCTCCTCTTCTGCTTTTCTTATTTTGGTACTACTTTTTTTTTTTGTATGAATGTGCTTTTAATCTTAAATCACCTGACATTGCAGAAGTGGCAGATTTAAGCACCAGTTTCATATCCCAGAAAACAATTTACTCTGTAACTTTTAGGAATTCAATGTTCAGTACCTTTCAGTTGTTCAGGATATTCCTTTCTTGGTTTATCAGTCCACTTTTAAGTCAGACTTAAATCATTCCATTTGAGACCTAACACTGACTCAGTCCATAGGCTTGATAAAGTGATTTGAAATCATGCCCTTCAAAAAGTGTTTCTGAAGTTATGTGTCCCAGAACTCCTTAAGTAGTGATTTAGTTTTAAGTTATTCCTGAAAATCAAGTGTTCAACTCTTAATTCCTTAGTTTCTTTTCTTTGTAGACAGAGTCAATGCTTTCCTTTATTTCCACTGACATTTTCCAGGCTTGTTAAAACTCTGCTTAAAACCATACTAAATACATTCACAGAAGTCTATAAATGAGACATACAGTTCTCATAAGCTTCACTGCTTACATGACACCTCCCCCTTTTTTTTTCTCCTAGGATCATTGAAAACTGTATTTTTTTCCCCAAAACAATAGTTTACAGCTACAAGTGTACTTTAACGCTTGTATTACACACATAAGCATGGTATTTTGGAAAATGAAACAAGAGGGAAACACTCATCTGCTTAACAATGTATCAGCAATATGAACAAGCATCTATCCAGCTATTTTGCAGGGAGGGAGCACAGAATGGCACAATAGTCATAGCAGTTAATGACTAAGTAGTAAGCTGTTTAACTAGCAATAGTATTCATTCTGCTCAATCCAGTCTGTTTGAAATACATCACCAACAAAAGACTGGTGGTTTGGCTGGTTGCCATCAATGGTCTCCAGAGCCAGGTAAAGGAAAAGAGGAGGAGGACACATGGCAGGTGGAGAACAAAGGTAGATCAACTTGTGCTATTGATAGCAAAAAATAGGAAGGAAGGAGATTTCCCCCTTTCCCCATAAAAGAATTCAGCAAGCAAAACCACACCAGTCTTTCCCACGGGGAACAAAGGCTCTCAGTCACAGAGAGGGAAGGAGAAAGTGAGTGTGGGCCAGTATCCTTCAGAGTGAGCCACTATGAGTGAGTTCAGAACCAGGCTGGTTTCAGACCGAGGTGGAAACGCCAGCTTTTAGGATGAAGTAGGTCAGGAGTAAGGTTTAATGGTGCCAAAACCTGAGTGTTGTGAGATGTCACCCCCAAGTGAAGGATGTTCCATAAGACCTCACCAGCCAATTAGACTGTTATATCCCTGATATGCCCTCAACATTGCCCTGGAGAGGAAAATCTAGCTGGTATTGACCAAAACCCAATAGTTAACTCCAGGAATTTAAGCCAAAATATAATGAAAGTTGGGAGAAAAGCATTTCAAACGCAAAAGAATGGCTTGAGACCATCTTCCATTGTTAAACTAGAAATCAGATTGACTTAAAGAATTTAAACTTAAAAGTACCTGTGCCAGTAATACAGCTGCATATTTTCCCGACAGTCATGTTATTGTAATCTCTCAAGATATGTTTTTCTGAAATACATATGATCAGACAAAGTTATTCTACTATACATCATATAAAGAATGCTATTCAGTCCCTATTATATTTCTGGGAAAAGTAGGATTTACCTCAAAAATGCAACACGCCTTCTGAAGCAGACAGAATAGTCGCTATAATCTGATGCAATGCCCTTTGAAACCTATGGGAATCATAACATTTAATCTCCTGCCCAATGAATTGGACCCTTAAACTCTAAAGTTGTGCTCACCTGGGAATTCGTGATCCTTGTTTCTGCTGGCTGGACCCCTTGCTACTTGCTTACATATGACATTTCCTAAAAAACACCAGCTCTGTCATCTGAATAGAGCTTTGCCTAAAACCAGAGGCAAAGCCTATTCTCCTAACTAAGGGCAAAATGCTGAATAAGGTTTTCAAACTTTTCCCTCTGCAAATACAATGTTTTCAGCCAGTCCCTTATGACAAGAAAGAAAGGTAGGAATTCACACCACATTTCAATTCTTTGTTTTCATTTGCTCTCCAGCTGGCTGGCATGACAGTAAAGACTACATAACAGTGCCAATCTTTAGGACTTACATCTCGCTTCCTCACAGAGCACATGCTGATTCCAGCAAATCACGTATTGCCTTCAAGTTCCATCTCACTGATTTACTGACAAAACATTTCTCTTAAGACAACATTCTGGGGTCATCGAATCTTGTCCCGGATAACGGAGGCTCCTCAGAATTTCTTGTATAAGTTCACTGATTTGCAAAACAGTTAATTGCTATAGAGGTGTACCTACAAATGTTTGGGATAGTCTAAATTTTATTTTAAAATTTATACAAATTCAGAGATCTTGTGTTGACTTCAGTATAGATGGACACACAGCTTTCAAGTGACCAAATCAAGAATGAAAAGCAGCTCTGATTTCTAATCCTCCAATCCCTGAAGCATATAATCATTTAATTGTTTTGGTTCCTTACAACAGTGAATTATTTTGCTTAATTATCACTTCCTGCTTCAGTATACTCATAGATAATAGAACTATAACAAACATAGCTGTTTTCACAAGTCTAGACAAATCCCTGGGGAACTGGGAACGAACTGAGTTTGTTCTACATATATTTTCAGGGTACATTGTCTTCTCTTGAATGTGAGACATTTGCATCATTTGTCTTTATTTTAAAAGTGTCTCTGTACCTCCCCAGAGAAGAATAAAAAATTAATTTTATCCCCGGATTTGAATATTTACAAAAAAACATTAAATAATGATCCAGAAGTCTAGAAGTTCTACAATTTACAGAAACTCTAGAGTGCCAAAAGTTTGTGCTTCGCAGATAAATTGCATTTCCCAATGGCACCATCTACTGGGAGATGACCACTGCAGTGAAGCACGCTGTGGTTCCCTCACTTCTCTCTTCTGCAATTAAACCTATGATTACTGACATCCAACACCTCCTCCAAATGGCAATATAAATTAGATCTGGAAAAGGAACTGAAGGAACCAGGAAGCTGATAATGAGACAATATCAGAGGCTTTCACACTGACATTTTTCTTTTGAATACAACAAGAGCTAATTATTACTATTAGGCTTTATGCTTCCTTACCAATATGGTGTCACACTGAAAAGAACACTAGGAATCTGAAATCTTGACTCGCATTTCATACAGGACACACTTCCATGCACCTTAGAGATTCATTTAGACAAAGGAAAGAAATTTCTTCTTTCAGAGGTGTGAAATCTATTTGCTGATTTACACTATGATCATGGTCTCTGATACCACCTCTCAAACTTTCTCTGTTCTAGTAGTATAAGTGACTTGATTCTGCACCTGGAGAACATTTTTAACTGCTGTCTTCTGCTTGGTTAACAAGTTCCTCAGTTGAGAAACAGACAGCACAGGCTGTACCACTATCACACAGTGTGCTTATCTGGCAACATACCAGATTTTGCACTTGTTTTGCTTAACATCCAGCACTTCTGGGTGCAGCAGAAAAACAAGTTCTGCAATAATATTCAT